AGGGGGCAGGAACCTCTGGGGGATGCAGGCGAGCAGGCTGGTACGTGGGGCAGAGGTCTCCCCTGGCATGGCCGAGGGTCATGAGCGGGGACGCCCAGATGGGTGGCTTCCAGTTCCCACCTGCCTCTACCCTTAATGGACACCCTCGAACCCAGAATGACCCCTCCCAGGGCCAGCGTTGGGGTCATTATTCCAGGCTTTTGTAAAAGGACACTAGAATTGGCTTTGGGGACAGTCACGGGGCTGGTTGCTGTCAGGATGGTGTTTTCCGGAATCCATTTTCTTTGGACTTATCTTTTGGTCTCGGGGATTTGGGCCCTTTTAATCTTTTGAAGATGAAAGTCTTCGTTAATGCCTGTGAGCTCTCTTAGCCGGTGGGGTGCTGGAATGTTAAGGGCGGTGCAGAAAAAGCTGGATTCCTAGGGTCTAGGTTGCCTTTAGAAAGCTTCTCTTTATGGACAAAGGGAGATACCAACTCTAGACAGTTATTTAAAAACCCAAGTCTTGGGTAATCAGATATGGTAATGTAAGAAAGAAGTATAAGGCTGTATTTTCTCCCTAAAAGTTCATGCTTCTGTCTGCTTTAGTGGTGACAGTTGAACCGCCTGGACCCCTGAGCTTGAAACGGTGTGGATTCCGTGCTGTGGAGCGGCTTCTGTATAAAATGGAAGCCTCGGAGAGATGAGATTTGGAATTTGGTGTGGACTTTGAATTATGAACTGCTCTTTTTAAAAAATGATTATCTGACTTCGATAAATTACAGAATTATTTTTAGAACCCACGGTGATGTGGTTTCAGGAAGAGAAGAAGGTCAACATGGTTCATACTGCGCATTGTCTTAAAATAATTAATGAAGCTGATGCATACAGAAAGCTGTCCCAGAGAGCCTGCAAATGTTTGCTAGAAATTTAGCTGGACACTCTGCATATATCTTTTTAAACAAAAGAAACTTTATAACCCTGGTATCTTAACTAACAGTTAAGATACATTTTATCTTATTCATTTAAGACGTTATACATACACCTGCTGCAACAGATTTGTTTTCGTGATTATGTATCAGGGTTTTCTTTCTTCACCGGGTGTGACTTTAGTGGTTGCACCTGTGTTAATGCCGTGCTCCTTCAAACATTTCTTTAGTGTTTGGTCTGACTGTGATATTTTCCAAATACAGTTGTCATGGCCAAACTTGTGGCCTACCTGTGCATAAGGCTTCTTCTGTACTGATTGGCATTCTCCCGCCTCATTGTTTGAGAGGCCCCGTGACAATGGCAGACGTGAACTTACATTGCTGTAAGTGCCGACTCTGTACACAGAAAGGGCCATTATCATTATCCTGGGACGAGGGGAGGCATGCAGAGGTTAAGTAACTCGGTCAAGACCGCACAGCTGATAGGGACACAGATTCAGGCTGAAACGCACCTGGCTCCAGAAAGTGTAAAGGTCAAGAGTGTGAGCTTTGGAGCGCAGCCACTCACTGAACTTGTGACCTTGGGCAAGTCACCTGCTTCCCCGAGCCTCAGGTTCCTCATCTGTGAGATGGGGATTAATCTCGCCTCACGGGTTCCATCAGATGATGACCGAGAGCGCTCAGAGCAGGACCCAACCCAGAGCCAGTGCTCCATGAACATGCCTTTTTGTACTTCTGGGTTCTTTAGCCTTCTTCGTTGTAAGCAGGGAGTTCTGCACCCCCATTCTCTGGGAGAGGACAGAGCCAGACGGTTGGAAACGGAGACTTTATTTGTGTCTATCTATCAGCATGCGGGGAAGGGGGGTGGCCTGTGGAATGCTCCACTGGTCTTCCACAGGGGACTGTCTAAGGGGATGTTTCAAGGAGTGGCCAGAGAGTTGGGGAAAAAGCTAGCAGGTCACAGTGAGAGGAGCCACAGGAAGACAAGGTGTTCGAAGGCAGGAGCAACCAACTGCTGCGTGCAATTACCTGGAAGTCAGGCAAGATCATGGCCACTAAACAAACTTTCCATTTAGTTATGAGATGGTCTTCAGTGACCTCGGGTCGAGTGGGGTGGCAGGGCTGGGGGACAGCTCGGGCGTGTTCCCTGGGAGCTCCCTCAGTGAGGGGGCCCAGGTGGGGGCTGCACGGGTGCATGCACAGACTGCTCGCTGGGGTGGGCGGCCGGCCACTCTCCAGGGGTGGGCTGCCTTACCACCCTCAGCCAGTCCCCTGCAAAAAAGCCCTTGAGGGGCCCCAGACTGTGCCCATCTCCTTAATAGGACAGACTTGTGTTTCTCCACTGTCCCTCCTGGCACACTCTGAAAAAGCTCCCAGGGCAATACTTGGGGAGAACAGCTCGGCAATAGGACTAAAGGTGAACACACACAATTCCACTTCTGCGCATGCCTCCCCACATTCACAAAGATACAGGAACACGGGTACCAGAATGCACTGCTCCGAGAGCCCCAAATTGGAAATGACCCGAATGCCCATGAACTGCCGAATGGATATGTGAATCATGGTGAAATCCAAGCATGGAATATTATACAGCACCAATGATGGATGAACATCCACAAGCACGTCGATGAACCACACAAACACGGTTGAGTTAAAGAAGCCACATGCAAAAGAACATGTACCGTATTATTTCCTGTTTATCATATTCTGAAATGAGCCAAACCAACCTGAGGCTTGAGAAGTTGGGGGAGAGGAAAGGGATGTTGGCGACATTCTATTTCTTGATCTGGGAGGAGGCCCCATGGGGAGGTTCACTGTGATGAGGCGCAGAACCTCACACAAGCAGTTTGTGTGCACAGCATATGCATGCTGTCGCACAACGAGAAAGTTCTGATGACAAGCATAAGAACTGCTCTTGCAGAGCTGTTGGCTCAGGCACTGAGATGCGTGGCTAAGATTTGGTGGGGCCTGGGTGTGAGGCCCAGCTCGTTGGCCCTGGGCAGGGCACTCAGCACCTCTTGGGTCTTAGGTGCATCCCCTACCAACGTGGCATTGGGCTCACCTCCTCGGGTGACCTGAAGGTTGAGTGAGCTAGAAGGATGGTAGAGGCCTGGCCCCGGGCGTTTCCACAGTGACCGGGGCAAGGCTCTTTGCTCTGCTCCCTCACTCTGAGGTCCCCTCCTGAGGTTCACTTCCTAGAGGCTGCCACAAAGACCCCTCCCCTACCTGCCTTCTGCATAAATCGAAGTGGGGGCCGGGTGATGCCCCCATGAGCATTCTTTGTCCCGCAGATCAGCCTTTCCCAGAGACTGGGTTAGAAGGCAAGTGCTCTGGGTGGGGGTCAAGGACCGAGCAAGTGAGGAGGACAGGTGCAGTCTACAGGGACCACAGGACGGTTTCTGGAGAGGTCATTCCTGTGGCCAGCTCTCCACGTGTGGCCCAAGATTCCAGCAGCTGAAGTGCAGAGGACGCCTTCCCGAGATCTCTCCAGAGGCAGGGTCACTCCTGCGCCGAGCCAGAGTTCCCTGGTCTTGAGGACTTCACCTGCCCCCTCTGCCCAGCAGGGAACAGCCTGATGAGTGGATAATTCATCAACACCCCTGCCCTCATCTTAGTATTTTGTGGAAATATTATTAAGGTTTAGAACGGTTTTGTTTTTGTTTTTGTTTTTAAACGAAGGCCTATAGGAAAGGCCTTTGGGCTGCCAGTGTTGGGAACCTTTTTCCTCAAAGGCGTTCGTGCCCTGCCTGCAGCTGGGCAGCCCTGATCCAGCCTGAGAGCCTCTAGGGCTTAGGAAGCTGAAGCTGGAGTTGAAGCTGGGCATGTTTCTCCTCTATTTTCCCTGTGTCTCTGGTCACCCCCCTCCCCCAGGCAGGAAGCGGAGATGGGGCTGTGTCTCCCAGGAGAAGAAAGGTATCTGCAGATGCCGCACACTTGCCTGAACTTGGCCATTCTGCATCTTTCCAGCACTTGATGATTCCCAGCTTCATCCCTGTTCCATTTTGGATCAGAGGATACATGATCCTCGGGAATCACAGGCCCACACCCAGAAACACTCTTTTTGGGCTTATGTCCGTTTCAAAATTTATTTTCAATGAAATGGGCATAATCTCCTAGTCTAGTCTCATTGCCGGTATAAAGGAGAAAATTTGAGGCCTTTGCCTTATTTTATCCAGAAGTCATTTTAAAAATCCTCATCCCCCAACCTTGCCATTCACTGCTTTTTCTGCTTTTAGTCTAAGGCTGTGTTTGGAAACCCTGATGGCTGTTAGAAATATCTGGGATGCTTTAAGAAGTATGGGTTTCTGGGCCCCCTCTCCAAAGATACTGAGTCAGTTGGCTCAGGGAGGGACGAGCACAGTGGGGTGCCAGAGCCCCCCCCCCGCCATGTGCCAGTTTCCCACCTCCATCTTCAGTCATTTCACCTCGGTAGCTCGAAATCTGCCAAAATGGAAGTTGGTAAACACAACAGATAAGGTCCCAGAGCGCCAGTCCCTCAGTATTTACCAGCTCACTACTGGGACAGGGCATCAGTGTTTTTTTCAAAGCCCCCATGATGATTCCAGGGCTGAGCACCACTGGGCCTCAGGGACCCCGTGACAGGCAGAGTGCGGTCCGTCTGCATTCATAATAGCTCACCGTTGTCGAGTCCTCCCAGAAGCCAAGCTGTTGATGTTGTTACTTAGCTCTCCCAACAACCCGTGCAGGATTATTATCCTCATTTTTAGATGAGGAAATGGGGGTCCGGATAGATTACCTGGTTGGTACCTTGTGCAGGCCCGCTAGTTAATGGCTGGCCCTGGATTTGAACCCAGGCCTGAGAGTCCATGACCCGGCGTCTGTCCGGGGGCCTCTGGGATGGCTCGTTCAGTGCCCCACTCTTCCCAGCAGGTTGGTGCAGAGTCACTGCTCTCGTTCAAGGTGACCACAGGGTCCAAGGCTGTGCGTCTGCAGGCTGCCGTGGGGCAGCGAGGAAGGGGCAGTCAGCCCCAGGGGTCTCCGGCCGAGGGCATGCTTGGGCTCTGCGCCAGGAGAGCGAAAGCCAGTAACTAATGAGCGGTTGGTGCGGGTGTGTGCTTTCTTCCCTCTCCAGTGGAGCACGACAAAGAGTTCTTCTACCCGCGCTACCACCATCGCGAGTTCCGCTTTGATCTTTCCAAGATCCCGGAAGGAGAAGCTGTGACCGCAGCCGAATTCCGGATCTACAAGGACTACATTCGGGAGCGCTTCGACAACGAGACGTTCCGGATCAGCGTTTACCAGGTGCTGCAGGAGCACTTGGGCAGGTGGGTGCTGGGGCCGGCGCCGGGCCGGGGGCTGAGCTGCCTTCCGCTGCAGAGGACGAAGGGGGCGGTGGCTCGGGCCGGGGCCGGGCCGCTTCGGTCTGGGGCCGCCAACCACCTGCCAGGCCCTACACTGCACCTCTTCTGTCAAGAAAGTCTGTGGTGCGGGCTGCTGTTTCTTTAAACTCTCCCCATCAGCATATCGAGTTAGGAAGAGGGGTTGGCCAGGTGAGCCCTTGTGGGTACTTATGGGTGCTCTGGGTCAGGGGCACGGAAGCCATGGGGGTGGGGAAGAGGAAGGAACATCTTTTGAGGGTCTACCTATCTCCCATTGCTCACCGTGAAACCCAGCACATGACATCAGGCAACTGGTGAAGGTGGCCATTTGTCATAAAACGGGATAAAAACCCCAACCCAAAAACAAACAGGCAGAGAGAGAACACAGCCTTCAAAGAATCATGAGGTAGGGAACCCAGATCTTGTGTCGAAAGACTTGACTGTCTTGAGACCCTTTAGTTTCGAGGTCTCCTGAGAGGTCAGGAGACTCAGAGATGGGCTGGAGCTTCGAGCGAGCACATGGTGCCTTCCAGAGGTGACTGTGACCAACCCCGGTGGTGCTGCCCAGGGGCTGGCTCGCGGGCTGGCTCAGGCTGACTCTTGTCATGGCTGGATGCCATTCCTCAGTAACGAATGGCAGGAAGGTGCTGTGGGTGCCTCCTGATGGATAGTCCCAGCATTTGCAGCAGGAATGGGGACCCATTACCGCCCTGGGGAAAGAGGAGACGTCACCACCTCCTTCGGGAGCACCACCATGTCAGGGGTTGTCTTCTTAAAGACTAAGAAAACCAAGCCTCTCTTTCTGAGGGTTTCCACTGTTTTGCATTTGTTACCTGGTTTCGTATTCACGGCAGCCGTGTGAGGTGGCCACTCCTCTGGGACACGGGGAGAGTTACAAGCTGAAAGCCAAAGGGCGTGTCATCTGCGTGCCACCACCCAGGGAGAAAGTGGCCAAATTGGGACTTGAACCCGGGCGTACCAAAAGTATTTCTTTTGAAAAGAGATTTTTGCGGAGGTAAGACACGCTCACATTGTCACATTCACAAGAGAAAAGCAGCTACAGTGAACAGGAAGGCTCCCTCCCGGCTCTGAGCCCCGGTGCCCGTCCCCCAGGCAGCTTCTGCCTCCCGCTCCTTGAAGTTCTCCACCCTGGTGGGTTCTGGGTTACAGGCAAGAGGCACATTATTTTTGTCGACAGCATCATTTCACACCGGTGCACGTCTATCAGATACAGCCCCGGAAGTAGAATCCTGGGGTCAGAGGGTGCACGTGTCAGTAACTGACTGATTTTGCTGGACAGCTGTCCCTGGAGGTTATGTCAGTTGGTACCAACAACCTAAGAGCAGGCCGATTTCTCATGTGCTCACGACATCATCTCTGATCAGACGGTTTTGGTCTTTGTCAGTGTGATGGGCGACAAATGGTATCTTAGTGCTGACTAAATTTGCATTTTAGAGCCCCCACTTGCATGCACAGCCCTACTCACCCTATTCTATGGAGAGGCCAGCACACTGTCCTGGAGGGGAGGGTACCGGGAAGGAGGGTGTGCCGTGGGGGAGGTGGCACGCGGTCTTGGCAATCACCTCCAAATCCTACGATGACCCCACTGAACCCTGGCATCTGTGCCCCATCCCCCAGACCCAATTATAGGAAGAAGCATCGAGTTAATTTCGGGGGTGTGACACACATTTGCTCTGGGTTCTGACAGATCCCCCAGGATTCCTGAACAAAAACATATGTTTGACTTTTCTCCTGAAGGCTGATTAGTAGGAGGCGAGGCAGGTACCCAGAGGCAGTTCGTCAGTAGCACTCCATCGGCCCACTTGTGCAAACGCCGAGCCCTGCTCCCTCCCCACCCCTCCTGGCAGGCTCCCCACACCTGCCTTGAGTCTCCGGCAAGAGGCTTCACCTCAGGAATGTGGCTGCCCCAAGTGGGTTTGGCTGAAGAGAATGCAAGGGTAGGCTGGTGTCACCTGTGTGGTTCTTTCTCCGAGTTTCCAGAGTTCCCAGGCGGGAATGCCTTTGCCCTCCTGGCCACTGCTGTGTCCCCCGGGGGTTGGCTGGGATGCTGCCGTTTCTCGTGAGGGGTGTTGCCACCCACCAGTCCCTGAGACAGACAAGCCTGGTGTGACAGGCACAGGACCTCCTTTGTGGGGGTCAGAGGCCACTGCACTTAGAGAGAGACGTGTAAGCCCAGCCATGTGTTTATCCCATCCCCCTGAGTACCCACAGGCCAGGCGCTGGCTTGGGGACTGGACTATGGGGCCAGGGGCCTCATCTGAAATGGTGGCTGAGGAGAGGACTGGTTTTCTGGGGCTGCACTAACAAAGTCCCATGAGGTGCGTGGCTTAAGACAATAGAAATGTGCTCTCGCATGGTTCTGTAGGCTGGAAGTCGGAAGTTAAGGTGTTGGCAGGGCAGTGCTGCCTCGGAAACTTTTGAAGGGTAGGGCTGGGGGTCCCTCCTGCCTCTTCCAGCTTCTGGGGGTGTGTCTGTCCATTGTCGGTGCTCTGGCTTCTAGCTACATCTGTCTGTCCACTCTCTGCTCTGTTGCCACGTGGCCCTGCATCTTCACGGGAACTTCTGTGCACCTCTCTCCTCTTAGAAGGACACCTGAGGGGCCCTCCCTGCTCCAATATGACCTCATCTTACTTAACTAATGAAGTTAATCTACAGAGACCCTCTTTCCAAATACAGTCACATTCACAGCTACCAGGGGTGGGACTCGAGCGTATCTTTTTAGGGGATATACCCCAACCCATATCAGGGGCTGAAGAAGAAGGGCAGGAAACCAGGAAGCAAGGAAACAGATGAGCTGGCCTCGTGAAGCGATCGAGTGGTCATGGATGACCATGGCCTTGTTGAGCTGGGGGTGTTTGAATGACAAGAAGGCTCTGGCAGTGGGGCGTGGGCTGGAACAGAGTGAGTGGCAGGGGAACGGCAAAGGCCATGGTCCTAAGGCGGGGACAAGCACGGGTCGTGGGGAGGACAGAGGGACGTGATGATACCCAGACGGGGTGAGCCACTTGGTCCTTGCTTAATGGAACATGAGCCTTGGCCTCCCCGGCAGGCGGTCAGCAGCGGCTTGTCTTTCTGCCTGTGTCAGCCTGCTGGCATTGTGGGCACGTGTCCCGTCACGGTTTGAGGCTGCTCCCTCCTCAACCCTGTCTCCGTTCCGTGAGGTGCATCTGGAGGCCCTCCGGGAGGGAAGAAGGCCTGAGTCACTGCGGTTGGAAGCGGGATGGGCGGACGGCTGTCTGCGGCTCTCTGGCAGGTGGCGAGGGTGGGCATCATAGGTTGCCCCCGGTGCGCAGCTTGGCCACAGGCCATCTCTGGGCCCGCGAGCCTTGCTTTGCGTTCCTGACTCTGGGGGCATTTGGCTTGCCAGGAGACCAGGTCCCTCGTTAGCAAATGTTTGAGTACCTGCTGCGTGCCAGGCACCGGCGGAAGTAGCCAGACCCACGCCCCTGCCCTCCAGATGACATGGCAGGTGCAAAGTATAAAAGAGGCAGGGAATGGAGGGAGAGGAAGGGGCTGCTGTCTGTAGATGTCTAAATTTCCTTTCTGTCCCTGAAAGAAGGAGGCGAGACCTTCATTCTCCAGAAGTTAAAAGGTTAAAAAAAATTTTAAATTATTTATATATTTTTTCTGGGTGGGTTGTTTTGTTTTTTTAATCCAGAAGCAAAATGATTCTATTGTGTAATTCCTCAGGTGGGATAACCTAGCTAATTAGAGTGTGGATTCAAATCCGGACACTACATACCAGTGTGGCCTTGGGAAGCAGTGACCTTTGGAGTCTCAGGTTCCTCCTCTGTACAATGGGGATAATAATTGCATCTACCTCCCAGAGCTATGCTGAGGATAAAGTGGGTTAACAGACTTCCTTAGGACATAGTAAGTGCTCAATAAATGTTC